AATTCCACTCTTAGACATATACCCAAAAGATGCCCATTCACACAACAAGGATGCCTTATGTATGTTTCAATAGCATTGGTCATATGAACTTGTGAAATATCCACTTTAATATAGAATATTTCCTTATGAGTGTGATTTGAATTCCCTTAATTATTAGTAATGTAGACAAATTATTGCATCTAGTAATGCTTCATTGCCTTTTCTATATTTCCTATTATAAAATATCTATTGAAATTGTGCCACAATCTTCAACTATTTCTTTTATTTTTGAGATTATAATATGATACCATTTCCCTCTTCCATGTCTTACCTCCAAACCCTCCCATATGTTCCTCCTTGTTATCTTTCAAATACATACCCTCTATTATCCTTAAATGTTTTGTACATGTATGTATGTATAAATATATGTGTATTCTCTTTAAGGGTCTATGAACCACTAAAAGAAGACCCCAGAATCAAATAGTATGAAGAACAAAGATCGTTTATTCTACAGAAACAATCACCATGCACAATCAACTACTTTTAAAAACGGCAACCCAGAGAAGGTACACAGGCTCTTTTTAGCATATCTAGGGTAATTTCAGAAACAGGCCACCTCAAATGTGATTTGTTTAGCAATCATTAGTGGCATTAGCATAGTTTTGATTGGCTGAGGTTTTAGTTTTTGCATCTTTAGACATGTTAGGGCAAGTCTGGACTTGTTTCCAGGGGATTACAGGAAATGTTCTTTTTTTAGTCCTTATCCTCATGAGGTACTGTGGGGGCTAGCTCAGATCTTCTAAGTGGTCTTTACAGTAATGGATGCTGTTGATTAGTGTCCTCTTCATTTGAAATGAACTTTGTTTGCTCCTAAGAATGTGAAACTCAGATCCAATTGTAAAATGGAGGAAGTTTAGACCTTTTATTCCAAATATATAAATACAATCTTCTCTGTATAATGTTAAGCTTACATAGATGATACAATTTCTGTTGTGATATTTAAGATTCTTTACATTTCAATAGGAACCCTTTAAAAAATAAACTCTGAAAATATTTTTTACTCATCCTAGAGATTAATTCTCCAGAAGAAAATTTGTATTTTGGTGTAATTTTAGACAATCAAATTTTGATAGTATTACAAAATCTTTAATGTTTATCCAAAATATTCTTGCCCATTCTGATGCTCAGTATTCCTCCTCTAATTTTCCTCTACTAATTTCATAATGTCAAGTGATACAGAAAAACCTCAATATATTGGAAGGTGATCACTTTTATATTTGTATTTATTCTTTGAACATTTCATCCATGCACACAATATTTCTTTTTGAATTCTTATTTAATTTTTCCTCATTCAAAACATTCTGATCACAGCTTCCCATTCCTCCACTTCTCCCAGTTCTCATACATATACTGACATGCACACACACGCACACACACACACACACACACACACACACACACACACACACACACCTTTCTGGATCTGGAGCATGAAAACTTTCTTGATTATATCCGTACTTTAGTTTCATCCATGAAAGACTATCCAACACATCTTCCTCTCAACTTCATGTTATCCTTTGGTAATTTTTATTTATTTTTTAACCCACTGATCCAATAACTGTTTCCCGTCTTCAAATGAATGTGAGACCAGTCATAGGGCATAGGGAATATTACAGTGGTCACACTTCGAAAGAAAAGTGACTTTCCCACCACCCATTTACCCTGCAGACTTCATCGATTGTTAACTATTTCGTTCATGTTAAAGCCTGGGAGCCCTGTAGTAATCTCTGCTAAAATTTTAAACTGCCTAGATCTGGCACAGATTCTGCATCAGCAGTCATAGTTCTGGTGAATTCATGTGTGTCATAGCAATTCAAATGACTAGTTCCCATCCTCTGCTCTTACACTTCTTTGACCCTCTTTTTTGCATTACCCTGGAGCCTTGGCAAGGGATTAATACAGATGTCCCATTCTTAGCACTCATAGTTTCTTAGATGCACATTTCCAGCTCTCATATTTGCTTATTTTCAGCATTTAAAAAGTAATGAGTAAGCATTGGTCACTACCTTTTCCATTAAGAAACTCCTGTCACTAAGGAAAATAGTCAAATGTGTTTAGAAATCAGCTGATAATTTGAAATTTAGAAAAGAAGAAAAAATCAATATATTCTCCTCTAGGGCGTACGAACTCACTTGCTATGGGTTCTGACATTTATACAATACTAGGAAGATATTGTCTCTCATGGAGAAAGTCTCAAATCCAATCAATAGAAGGATTGATTATTCCCATAAACAGTCTTGTCACTATTGCCTGACCTGGCACATTTGTCTATCAGGTCAGTATTATAGCATCTATGGTCCAGCACTTGAAAATACCACTGATATTTTTTCTTCCTCAGCTGTCTACATAGCAACTTTCATTACTGTGAATACTAGACTACAGGGAAAATTTTTTGGTCAGTTCAAGTCTTGCTTCCCTGTGTCTGGCAACCAATTGTACTATGTCTTCAACAATAGAGTCTTAGTATCTGATTATGGTTGGAAATCAAGAGTAATGGCAATAGCCTCTATTATTATGAATACTACATATTTTATTATCATTATATATAAATATTATGCTATATAACATATAATATGTGACAATATATTATTTACAATGAAAACTGTATATCATATCTATTATATAAATAATACACAAATATATATATAATTATATGCTATATAGCATCATAAATAATATGTATATTACTCATAATATTTTACATATATATTCCAATAACATACAAACTAGTGGAATCTTATAAAAATTCTCAAACATCTTTAGTTTTAGTTAACCCACCCTACATCTTTGTTTCTATCCATTCTTAAACTTTTAGTTCCCAGTATTCACCACCTGGGATCTCATGGAATATATTCTACTAGACCTTATTACATTTTGTACTTGGTTGCCAAGGAGCTTCTGTAGGCACACTTCCTTTTGTCTGAGCCTTTATCAGGCACTCCCTTTCTGAATCATTCTACTTTCTTCTTGAGTCCTTCTGCTCCCAGTTTTGCCCTTTATACTTTCAATTTATATATATTTTACTATTCTCCTTCCTAAATGCATCACTTCTGCTAATAACCCATTTGTAATTTCATAATTTTCCACAAATAAACACATAAAACAAGAGACAGAAGCCAGGAATCTCTAATGAGAGAGAAAGTAAGAATTTTGTCTTCAGGGTCCATTCAGCCTAAATAAATACAATTTTTCCAGTTCCGTCCACATGCCTGAAAATTTTGTGATTTCATTTTTTGTATAGTTGAATAATACACAGTGTGTTTGTGTGTCTGTCTGTGTGTGTGTGTGTAGTACATTTTCTCTACTTAATTAATCTGATATATCTCTTGGTTACTTATGTTTCCAAACTGTCGTGAACAGAGCAGCAATGAACACTGATGTGCAAGTGTTTCTGTAGTAATAAAATCCTTTGCTTCACACTCAGAGGTAGGATAACTGAGTCACATGGAAACTATTGTTAGTGGAATATCTTTGTAAATAGTTTTTAATTGTTCTTTAGAAAGTGACACAACACTAACTTACAGGATTTCATGACCATTTTTAATGAATAATTTTTATAGAGATATATCATAAGCATCATCATAAGAACTTTGTCAATGAGCCTGTTTGAGTTACTGATCTGTATTTTCCAATTTTAATTAGTATAATACCATAATAAAACAGTTGTGTTGTAAAATGTTATAGGGAAATTATTAGTTTCCCCTTCCTTAACTCCTCCCACTCCATTGTATGAGAGAAGAATCTATTTTCATTAAAATACAAACATATAAAACTTATTTCAGATAATATTGTTTGCAATTATAGAAAAGTTTATGGAAAGTCTAACACATTGAACAAGATATATTAGTAAAGTAGCTAAAGTCATGCAGTCATGCTTCACTTTACATTAAGACTAGATATAACCACTTGGAAACTACAATATGAAGAACACTGATTTAATTAATAGCACCGAAACTAAAAGGTAAACAAATTGTGAAAATAAAAGAATTACAAAAGAAATAAAAGAACCTAAACATATGTGATTTTTATATTATATCAAAAAGAATAACATAGTGTGCTCAAGCTCTCAATTTCCATATTGCATAGGCATGTAATACAATGTCAATAAGCCCATTAAGCATGTTAATAAAACTATTATTCAAATAATTATTTCAGTGTTTGCAACCCTATTTAAATAAAAATCTTTTATTATTTTATTTAAAAATATACTTTACTGGCTATAATAATAAAGTATTTAATTAGAAGTCATAAATTAACCTAACTGAAATAGCACAGATATTAATATATAAGTACTTGAACATAAAATACAATGAAGATGAAATATCATGATATTAGGTTAAGATTAGATTTTTTTAAAAGTTTTAATAATGTATATAAGGCAACCAAAAAGGGAAAAACTATTGCAAAACTAAGAAATATAGATCACAATATACAATAACTTAAAAAGTACAATATATGTTCTAACTACAGCAAAATGGCATGACAGAACATGTGCAAATTAAGTCCGTGTGTCACTCTATAATACATATAAACTTCAAAATAGCATATTATTATGGTAAAAGTATATAATTTTCTTGATAAATTTGTAAAGAAATTTAATGAAAATTATTTTAAAATAAGCACATTAGTAGTTAATATTCATTAGGATTAATGATAGCATAATAAAACACAACTATAAAAGACTCTGTGGTGCATATAACTTATGTAGTTAGTGACATAACTCATAAAGAACTCTACTAACCCAATTGTATAGAAAATAATTTATTGGAGAATTGACAAAAGTTGAAAACATGCACTTCTTAGAGAATGGAAAAGTAGGATGCTGAACTTCAGTAACCATTAAGAGAATTAAAAAAGCAGTTAATACAAATATCTCATAATTTCAAGTGTTGTTACTAATTTGTAACTTGGAGCACATACTGCAAAAAGTGATTATTGTTCCTTTCCAATAAATTATACTCTCAGTAAGGAAAAATTCTGACTTTATCTACATTTAATATTTTATACCAGAGCTTTCCAATAGAATTTTTAATTTCTGAATTTCTCAGTGTATATATCAAAGGATTCAACATTGGAGTAATAGCCGTATAAAAAACAGAAATAGATTTATCAATAGGGAAGTTTGAGACAGGTCTAACATACATGAAAATGCAAGGAACAAAGAAAAGGATAACCACAATGATGTGGGAGCTACAGGTGGACAGAGCTTTGCGCCTCCCTTCCTGACTGTGAGTCTTAAGGGAGCTTAATATAATTCCATAGGAGAATAGCAGAAGGACAAAGACCACCATGCACATGGCTCCATTATTGGCAACAACAGTGAGGCCAATAAAATAGGTGTCAGTGCATGCAAGTGCTAATAATGGGTACATATCACAGCCAAAGTGATCAATGACATTGGGTCCACAAAATGGAAGTTTATACACAGAGAGAACTTGAACCAGAGCATGGGCAAAACCTCCCATCCAGGCAACCACCAAGAGTGAGATACAAACTTGTTGATTCATGATGTTTAAGTAGTGTAGTGGTTTACAGATAGCCACATAACGATCATAGGCCATCATCACCAGAAGAAAGACCTCCGCACCACCAAATAAGTGCTCTACAAAAAGCTGAACCAGACAAGCTGTGAAGGATATGGTCTTTTTATCACAAACTAAGTCTTTGAGCAACTTGGGCAAGATGGTAGTGGAGTAAACAGCATCCATCAGCGAGAGAAAGGCAAGAAAGAAGTACATTGGGGAGGCCAAAGAGGAGCTGGAAATAATTGTCATCACAATGAGCAGGTTGCCCACAACTGTCACAACATACATGAGCAAAAACATAACAAACAATGCCTTTTGTCCAGTAGGATCCTGAGTGAGGCCCAGGAGGATAAATTCTGTGACATTGTTACTCTGTCCCATTTAATAATCTATCTGTTTTGCTTCAAAAACACTTCAGAAGAGGTCCTACTATGAATTCTAAAGAGGTTCATGAATCCATTTCATCAGGAAACACATGTTCATAATTACCTATACAATGGCAAACCCATAACAAGCATGGAATAAGTATTTATTTAGTTCTTCTTTCAGAGAGCTCCATCAATTTCTGTCAGTAAGTCTCTAGGTACTCTTTTCTGTCTCAATTCTTCAGTGCATATCTACACAGAAGAGCAGACAAAGGGGTTTCAATCATTTATGTTTAAAACAATGTTTTATCTTCAAGTAGACTTAAAACAAAGTGGAATGGTTCTTATTTTAACTAGTTATAACCAGTTAACAATTAAAACTCCAAGTACCGGGAATAGATTACTGCTTTCAGAGTTATTGGTCAATAAAATGCCCTAGACCCCCAAATATTACTGGCTATTTTCAATTCTTTTTGTTACCATCTTTGAACTTGATGGTAAGATCCTATTTCTGAAGAAACTCATAGCTGCTGTAAGGATTCAGGCATTATGCTGGCCTGCACCTGTCACCTGGCAAAATGCCCTCAGGCAGTACCCTGGTCAGCATGCAAGTGCAAAGGACCCCTTTACAAGAAAGACCCCCTCCCACTTATGCTCCTTTCACTCTCTCTTTCCCACTGTCCCCCTGGGGCAGACAGGACTTTTACTTTATCTCTTTTCTCTTCTGACCTCACCCTTTCTCTGTGTCTCTTTACCTCTTTTCTCTTTCCTCCCCCCTTTCCATTTTTTATTAAACTTCTCACTAAGTTCTGTCTACCTGGCATGTTTGTCCCCTGTCTCAAGCTAGTCTGATGTGGAATCTGCCAAGGTTCCCCATGCACAACATCATAGCAGTTGCATCATTGAACACAAAGAAATCAAGAAGGCACTCAACATGAAGCTTCATCCCTACTGTTTAGTTTTTTTGGAAAATGCTTCAAGATGCTATGAATTATACCAGAGGAGTGAGGTAATCATCATCCTCAGCCACATATGAACTCTACAACATACAATAACAACTAGCCTTTGAGACATGCCTTCTGGTATAATAGTGGCACTGATATTATGGGAATAAGCAAGCACTTCCTGATTGGAACTAAGGCCAACTTCATTAGTTGGAGACCAAACATGGAACTCTTATTAGAGTAAAGGACCTTTGAATTAATATGCTCTAGGCCCTAGAGGAGAACCTAATAGTGCTAAATGGACATAATTAAAACTACCCCTAATATCTTATTTATCAAGACCTGCTAAGCATCAAGTCAGATAAAATTTAGGATGAAGAAAAGAGGCAACCAGGGAAACCTGCCATTTGTTGAGTAGTTATTGGTATTTTATAGCCACCAGAAGAAGTGAAATCAGTGATCTTTGAAAGTATGACCCCTAGTATGTATACCATACTATAGCACAGGTCTCACTCTAAAAGTAGTTGAGTAACACAAATGGGAATCAATGGTTTAACAAAACCTTTTTTGTGAGAAAGGAAAACAAAACGTTGAGTATGTAATGAGGAGAGAAGGGGTTGGGGTGAATATGATCAAATCACATTGTATGAAATTCTAATAGAACTAATACATTGCTAAAATTTTTAAAACTGCAAAGTGGTAGCAATACAGCTAATTGTGTCAACTTACATAGAGCCAAACTGGTGCTATGAGAAGGTATTTTACAGCATATTCTGTGTAGTTCCTAATGTTCCTGCACATCTAGTTGAGTGATGTGATGGCATACTTTTAGAAATAGGGAGCACTAATCATAATATACTGTTATTCTTTAAATATACTCCACTTATCTCAAATAAGGGTTTAAATTATATCAAATATCTCCAATGTTATTTGACACATTGCTGTCTAAATCAATGACTTCACTTCTCTTAGTCAGTCATGTTTTCCTAGAATTATAATTCTGCCAATTCATTACTGCCAATAACAGTTCTCACAAATACACATACTACTGTGATTTTCACAATACTTAAACTTGGACATATGCTCAAATTATCTAAGAGATTTTCTGTTTCATTGTGTATAAGTATTACCAACATTTACTTGTGAAAAAAATCTATTTTGGCTTGATTTAAGCAAGCAATTGTAGTCACTTAGAATTGATGGTGGATGATATGTGCAGAGTTAGATCTTTCTTAGTAGTTCTGATGTACTATTTGCATACCTCACTCACATGAATACTTGCCCATCAAGTCACAGACTGAAAAAGATTATCCTGATGTAAACATAAGAATATAACATAATTTATGTCATTTCTGTCTCATTCACTTCTTGTTTTCTACTGGTTTGCCCACCTGCCAATATTTATCAGTAATACTGATATCATGTTATCAACATGTTCAGTTTCACTAGGACAAATATAAATGCCAGTGTAATTATTGAGTTCTTACACTATGTCATTTGTAAGCTCAAGTAAACTGTACTATAAATTACCAAATATTTAGTTCCATAAAAACTAAAGTATAATATAACTGATTTCAATTTAAGCTATCTTAAGCACTATTCTAAAAGAAAATGATATGATATTGTTATTAAGAACATGGCTTTAAAAATAGTCTTAAAATTTCAAAAAGACCCTGCATTACAGGATATTTTGGATTATTTGAAGCCATAAAAAGAATGATATTAACCTTGCATTGGTGGCACAGTCCTTTAATTCCAGCACTCAGAAGACAGAGACAGGCAGATCTCTGTGAGTTCGAGGCCAGCCTGGTCTACAGAGAGAGTTCGAGGACAACTTCCAAAGCAATACAGACAAAACCCTTTCTCGACAAACCATAAAAAATAATAAAGAATGATATTATACCATTCAGAAACATCGGTATAACCTGAAATACTCATATCAAATGAGTAAAAACAATCTGATTAAGACAGATTTTCATTTCATTTTGTGTTCTCGATTTAATTCAGATACACAAAAACCACATATGTACAGAAAATCTAAAAGTAGAAGTTGAGCTATCTAGGAAACTAAGGGCCTCTATGAATGTAGAAGGGATAGAAAATAGAGAGAATAGGAAGAAATGGAGTAGGAGTCGATTTTCAAAATGCATAAATGCTCATATGAATGTTGCATTATGTATAATTCAGTATAACAAAATGCTTTATAAACATACCTGTAAAAACTATTCAATTACAAAATTTAGGTTCTATATGGATAAAGAATCCTCTACGAGTTTCTCTACACAGACATACTAACATTTTTTCAGGAATAACTTTAAGAAACATAAAATCATACATATACCTACTGGAAATTAATTGACTTGTTCTCTTGCGTACTAATGCTTGAGTTGCTGAGAAATTTTATTTTTTCTAACAGAAATACATATAAACAATAATATTTCTTCATTAACATGATATGAAATCGAGTGTCCCATAAAACAAAACAATTAAAGCACTGGACATTTAATTGCATACAACTTATTTCCATTGTTACTTGTCAAATGGAAAATAAAAGCAATCTGTTTTTAACAAGTGTATACTGCTAATTCTGATTAATTATATATATCATAACTTTAATATTTCCTATTTAGAAACTTCCTATGAGAATATAATAGCTTTTAAATGATTCAATAACTTTCAATAATTCATAGGATACTTTAGCTACAGATCTTGTTATATCTCACAAATTGACATTATTGATCTTATATTTGCCATAAACTAAAGGCCTTTCTTCAATGTGTTGCCTACAAATTTGTCATATAGTAATGTACTTTCAGGGAAGACATTATAACTAGTGATTGTTGCTTAGATGTAGGAAGAGTAACAAGCTGCCATAACAAATACATTTCAACATCACTCGCATTCAGTTTTTCAGAGAAGTGTCCAAGTATACAACAAGTACCTGAAATAACATCAAAACTTATGCTCAGTCTGGGAAAATATCTTCATACAGAATCAAACTGATATGATTGTACAAATATGAAAAGTGTCAATCTAATAAATGGAAATTAACTTACCAAAAATTATACTTGCTGAAATAAATAAATACAAAAATGAACAACACTGAAGTTATGTGAAATTTTTGCTTTACTGTCACTTATACTGAAGTCAACAAAAGTCGGGAATTTATGGAGCAAGTGCAAGAAGAAGTCTTCAGTCTTGAGTCCTTTGATCAGGCTCTCTTAAACCTAAGTGTCTTCCTCATTTAAACAATGTTCCTATATGTGGGAGATGCTAGGACATTGAGAACTTCCACAGACTTCCTTAAACAATGCAAAACCATGCTGTCTCCAGAAAAAATTCAAAATAAAAAAACTGTATCTTGGGCAGATTTCACCTTTCAGAAATCTCTGGGGTCTTTAAATCAGGTAAATATTTCTTCCATTTATATTTGCAACACAGCCTATTGTTGTATTTTGCATCATTGCTATTTTTGATACGTACTATTTTTATAATATTGGGGGAGAGGGAATAAATGTTTTCCCTTAAATAATCCCTAGAGGGAAAAGACTGCATCTTGCCAAGAATGAGAAGCTAACCACCAAACCATTTGAGTATGTTTAAATATGAACAGAAAATTTTCAAAGTGTAATATTAAAAAGCTGAACTGTCAGTAGTTTGGACTCTACTCTGTTCTTTCTCTAAAGTGTTTTGTTGCTTTTGCTCTGTTTTTGCCTTTTTCACCAGTCTCTCATTAATCCTTCATTTTGCTCTCTCCTTTTTCCAAAAATATTGCTAGGCCTGGTTTATAGGGATCCTTCCATAGCCTCCTAGAAGAATGCTGTTACCTAAATGCATACTTTTATTTCTCAATCCTGAATTTTTGGGCCTCTACAGGTACCTCTTGGGCCTCCACAGGTTTCCCACCCTCTACTTTCTCTCTTTCATCTTTGTACTAATCACTATGCTTACTGTATTTTCTTCTCTTTCTACTCCATTCACTTTTATAGTGACTAATCTATTAACATACCAAGGAAACCAAATTTAATTCCATCAAAAAACTTCATAAGACATATTTATCAGCAGTTCTTTAAATATTCTCTAAAATATAACACATATTAGGTCACAAAACAAATATCTTGAGAAATTGAAATAATCCATTATCCTCTGTATAACCACAATATACTGAAGTTCACAAACTCATGAAGATCATTTATCACATCACAGAGTGATAAATTGGCCACTATTGCAATCAAGATGGAAATTAAATGAGCCTTAGAATTAAATAAAATACAACACACAAAAACCCGTGTATTACAATAAAATCAAACTGAATAAGGAAATTTAGAAATCTAAGAGTCAACATCAAAAAAGTAGAGAAACCTAAAATAATAAGTTAAATATGCACATTAGGATATTGGCCAAATAATAAGATAAACCTAAACACAGTACACATATAAAACTCATTAAGATAATGTTACTAATTAATAAAATAGAAATTTTCAAAATCAAAGAAACAAAGAATCTCTCAGACTAATGTTAAGGGCATAGTGAAGAATTTAATTACTTTTCAAATTATTTACATTTAATTTATTCTTTGTCTACATGCTTATCATATGCATGAATACTTTAAAATGACCGCAATGCTGGAATGTATTTTTTTTAAAAAGCATTAAATGGGAAGCCTTCCACTGTGCATCATAATCTACTTCACTGACATATAACATTAAAGTGCTGAATTACAAATAAACAATTAAAGTAATATAACAGAGAAAAATACGTTGATGCTTCCATATACAAAATAATGAAAATGGATTGTAACCAGCTAAGTGAAGACAACATTTTACATAAATATGTTAGAAATATTTTTGTTATCACTATAGTAAGAAAGCAAATATTCCAATTTTAAATACGCCTAAATGTTGACAACACATTTTCACACAAAATAATGCTATGCAAGAAAACACATATAATGACAATTTTACCCTTTTATGGTACATTCTGTCTTAGGGTTTCTACTGCAATTGAGGCTACCCTTTCACCAGTGGCCTTTCCTAGTCTCTCATAGCAGCAAATCTCAGCATCTCCATGACCCCCTCATGTCTTCAAAACGATTAGCACCTGGGAGACTTTTATGCATTTACAAGTGGAATGACCATCACAAAGAGCAGCCTTGGCTCTTTCTATGCTTCTAATGAAGAGCCCAGTCCCTCACCCAGTCCTCTGCTTTGGCAGACATGACAAGCTACAGAAAAGACCCAGCAAGTTGTAGGCCCCTGAGTGAGCCCTCTCTCCCCTCACCTGGACCTTGCCCTAATTACTGGGAAGAAACTGTCTGATACCATCCATGTGGTAAGGAACCACTCAGAAGGTGTTTTACTGATACTAGTGGAATGTAGTAAGTAGCAATGGTCTTTGGATGGCCTCCAGGCATAGCAACCTTTCTGCAGCTGCAGCTAACCAACCAACTCACAAGAGATTCCCCTATCCCAGAGGTGTGCCAATCCTGAGACTGTTGCTATGCATCTCTCAGGCCCCCAGATACCTGCCCTGCTCTACCCCAAATATATGTCCTGCCCCACTACTGTTTCAGGTCCCTACTACACCTGCTGTGTCAGATGGATGGAGGACCTGAATTAACTCGTAATTACAAGGACTCCTTGCTTTTGGATCAGATCTGGTCTCTTGATGGTTTGGAAGGTCCAGTCATTGGGTACAACATTCAGGGACTCATCTGGCACCCCCAAATCCACCATGTGCTCCCTCCATTGAGTTTGTGTGCCAAACATTTGTATTGCCTGGGAAAGTTCTGTTTTCTGTTTCTGGCTGTTGGAGCTCTGGTTTCTGTGATGTATGCATAAGATTCAAGTGAACTTGTGGCAGATAACAGTTTGGGGCTACTGGGAGATGGCCCAGCACTCTTCTGGTGAGCCAGAGGACCTGTTGAAGGGGATTGGATACCCCAAGCTCCTCTGGAGAGGCTGAGTAGGTCACTACCACAAACTTAAATCTTGCACCTCATCTGTGTATGTCTGTCTGTCTGGTTTGCTATTGTGTAAGTGTGTGTGTGTATGTGTGTGTGTGTGTGTGTTGTTCTGTTTACCCCTCTATCTTATATACCCTAATATTATGAACCAATCCTCTAGTCACCCCACCCTGCTGAGCCTGTTCCTTGGTAACTTTAAGTACTCTAAGAACTGAAGGAATCTCGATGGACTGGACAATCTAAAGTCAAGATTGCCAGTCAGAGCCAATTCTTCAGCTCAAAATGACCACAAACACAGATTATTTTGAATTATTTTACGTTTTTTTTTTTGTCTATGTTTTGTTGTTTTTACATACCATCCAAGTTTACCTTCCATCTTCATAGTTCCTCCCTCTCACCTCCTTTCCCTCCACCCCAGGAACCCCTCTTCATCCTCCCACCTACACTCGCTTTGTTTCTCTTCAGATATAAGCATGCCTACCATGGATATCAGCAAGCCATGATATATCAACTTTCAATGTGACTAGGTATCCTCTTCTATTAAGGTTGGATGAGGCAAGAATGGGTAGCAGGAAGAATCAATCGGTCCCAAAAGCAGGAAGAAGAGTTAAAGACAGCCCCTGCTCTCATTACTTGGAGTCTCACAAGAAAACCGAGCTACACAACTGTAACGTACGTGCAAAGGGCCTAGAACAGTTGCATAAAGGTTCCCTGGTTGTTGATTCAGTCTCAATGAGACCCTATGAGATCAGGAAAGTTAGTTCTGTGGGTTTTCTCGTGTTATACTTGACCTCGGGATTCTACAATCCTTCCCCTCTTCATCAGTATTCCTTGAGCTTTGCCTGATGTTTGGCTATGGGTCTTCATATCTGTTTCCATCAGCTGCTGAGTGAAACATCTCTGATGACAGATGGGCTAGACTCCAATCTATGAGTATAACAGACTATCATTTGGAATCATTTCATTAACACTTTTTGTCACCTGTTTGGTTCTATCCTGGGTCTCTGGGTTATCCATCCCATGGATCCTGGTCCTCCTTGGTGGCCTCACTTTCAGGGTATCTCCAGCTGGGTTATTCATTAGTTGGTCTCTCCTACCACAGAAGCAGAGAAGGTAAATAATAAGGATGGCTCAAGGGAATCAGGGGAATGCACAAATCTCACTGTAAAGGGGAAAAGTAGACATTTCAAGTAGATGGGGAATGTAGGCCTAGAAGAGGGAATGGGGATGGAAACAGGAGGGCTCAAATTAGCTGAGGATGGAGTATAGAAGTATTGGGAGAAACAACTGGAATCTAAGGACATCGCTAGGATGAGCTAGAAACAGAGCAGTGGAAATACTGTGGAAATCAAAAAGGGTGACCCTAATGAAAATACCTTGCAATAGGGGTTAAGGAACCTCAACCAGCCATCTACTGTAACCAGGCAAGACTTCCAATGGAGAGACTAAGACACCAACCAAGCCACATATGCTTCAACATAAAATTTGTTCTGCCTACAAGATGGACTGATTTTGTGCAGCTAACCCCAGCTGCCATGTGTTCATGAGTGCAATGTCCCTGTCATGTTGAGACAATGGGATTTTACAGCTCTCTTCCAAAATCTCTACTTTTACAATCTTTCTGCTTCCAAAGAATCAAACTCTGAATTTTTCTTTCATGTGTGGCAGGAATTTGTAGATATGAGAAAATTCATTAGAGCCCTTCTTACCTCTGTGGATTAGGTTGACTGGTTCTAAAAATTACATGATTTGTACAAAAGATGTGGTGTAACAATGCTGTTAACATAATTAAAATAGAATGGTGAATGGTAGGTATGAAAAGAAGAGTTGAATTAGTGAGCTTTGAAACACTCTATTTGATAGTTCTTCTGTATATGTGATGGGTATTAGTTTTAAAGTGTGGGTATTTTGTAATTTGAAGGTTTGCTTTCTTTCATAACGAGAAGAAACTGTTTATTCCAGTCCCTATTTCCCTTTGTCTTTTACAATCTTTCCACTTCTCCTGGACTTTAATGATGGTCCCTGTGTCTTGAGAGTAATTATACAGATTTCTTAACTCAACAACATGCAACTTAGTAACCAACTAAATATATGTGGAAGAAGCTATAATTCCTCATGCTATGTCTATCCCATTCCATTTGTTTTTGTAAATCTGTCACATAATTGAAAATGTTTTCATGATTAGGGTTTTTCCAGTGAAATCATTAGTATAATTTAAGTACAGTTTCATGTCATCTGTAAAGATAGATATTTTGAATTTTAATATAAAAAGCAAATACTGAATATAGACTTATGTGATACGGTAAAATTTTCAATCAATGATTCATTCCACGTAATTTTCAGACACCCTGTTATTCAGGGATATTTTTATAGATAATATATTAAAGAGCTTGTATTATCAAAAGATCCTGTTGCTGATAACAGAAACATCAATTCATGTTTCAGTTATAATTACCATACATAAGTCAAAGAAAAAGAAACATAGTATTACATTTAAGAAGAGTTTTTTCTCCACAGATCTAGTGACCATAGCTAAATCCCTCTATATTCATTGTGAATCAATTATGTGCAAACTTCTATGGATTTTTTAATAAAGTTTCTCCAAGACAACTGTCATTATTGAAGTTCTCAAGGGCAGACTAAAGTACTCTGAGAGGGGTTTATGGCCTTTTTTAATAAATTCAAAGCCTTCCTAATGGGAGAATTGATAAATAAATTTTGATCGCCATCATGAAATTAACTGGGGAGTATCTTCCAAATGATGATCCTTATTTTTCAATTTTAACAAACACATTAGCATGATGAGGAGACATGGTACAAATATTGAGTAGAATCACTAGAAACAAAAATACTTATGGTATAATTTTTATCTAGCAAATCCAAGGAATTAAAAATTTCATCATACTGTAGAAAGATTCATGATAGAGCATTTGAAGTGATGTTTTAAATTCCTTCCATATTGTCACCATATGTAGAAAATGCAGGATAGAAAGCCTTTTTGAAGTTTATATAAATAACACAAATTACAAAAATTTCAAGTAAAAAGGTGGAACTTCTGAATGATGAAAACAAACTGAGACCAAAACTAATGATGAATTCTAGGGCCTGTAGAAAGTTAGCTGTGTTCCTGTTCTCCCAAAGAAAGATTTGCTAAGATCAAGATATCAGGTCTTCTTGGAACTATCTACACAGTTAATACACCATCAGCCAAAGATACTCCTATTGTGGAAATGTTTAAATAGAATTATTTAATAGGATGTATTTTATTACATTTCAAAACTTGCTTCACTGGCATTTAGTAAGAAAGTAGTAACTTAGGAGGAAGATCAATTCACCAAGTGTCAAGCAGAAAATGAAGTCCAGGGTTGGCATTCTTTGGTTTGTACTAGGTATGTGGAGTGGGTTATTTGGGTTATTTTGGCATTTTTATTGTTGGTTTTTTGTTTGCTTATTCTGATGGTTTTTTTATGTTTGGTTTTGAAATGTTGAGAGGGAAAACACAGAAACAGCAAGGGAGGGAGATAGAGAAAGAATATGAAGTTTGTTGAGAGCAGAAGAGTGAAGGATCTGGAAAGAGACTGGAGACAAGAAAAACATAGTCAAAGTATATTGTACGAAAAAATTTTAAGGATAATTATTTATTGAAAATTTAACAAACTGAAATAGACAATTCATCAAAAAGATTAAAAATATAGCAAAAAATGAATGATAATATAAACAGCTACAATAACTGCAAAAAAGTACAACAAAATGTAGTAATAAATAACGTTACACTATAAGTAGTTTCACAATATTAAGTATTGGTATAAATGTTCAAGATAAAACACATACTTCTAGTATTTCTATAAGATAGTTGCCTGTTGCTTAATAAAAAAAGCAACAAGAAGAAAGTCTTATTCTATCAGGAATTAGAAGTTTTTGAAAGAGCTTTTCCATAGATTTTTTCATCTCCGCGTTTCTCAAAGTATATATTAAAGGGTTCAACATGGGAGTGACAACAGTATAAAATACAGTAATGGATTTATCAGCAGGAAAACTAGAAACTGGCCTAGCATACATGAAAATGCAGGGAACAAAAAAGAGGAAAACCACAGTGATATGGGAGCTGCAGGTGAACAGAGCTTTGCGTCTCCCTTCCTGACTTTGATTTTTGAGATATCTTAGGATTATCCCATAGGAAAGTAGGAGGAGGATGAAGATCACAATACACATGGCCCCATTATTGACAATTGCAGAAAGGCCAATGGAGTAGGTGTCAGTGCACGCAAGTAGCAATAGTGGATACGTGTCACAGGCAAAATGGTCAATGATATTGGGACCACAGAAACGAAGTTTGCACACAACAAGAACTTGAAACATAGCATGTGCAAAACCTCCCGCCCAGGCCATCACTAAGAAAAGGTTACATACACGTCGGTTCATGATAATCAGGTAATGCAGGGGTTTACATATGGCCACATACCGATCATAGGCCATTGCTACCAGAATGACAATATCCACACCACCAAACAAATGCTCTATAAAGAGCTGACTTAGGCAAGCTGTGAAGGAGATGGTCGTCTTGTCACGGAGCAAGTCTACAATCACCTTCGGTGAGATGGTGGTGGAATAAATAGCATCCATGAGTGACAGGGAAGCAAGGAAGAAGTACATTGGGGTGCCCAAAGAGGGACTGACAATTACTGTAACCACAATGAGCAGGTTTCCCACCATTGTCACAATGTACATGAGTAGAAACATAACAAATAATGCCTTTTTCCCAGCAGGATCCTGAGTGAATCCGAGCAGGACAAATTCTGTGACATTGTTGTTTTGGCCCATTTAATCTTCTATCTGGCTTGTTCCAGAGAAAAAAACTGAGGAGAACAGGGCCTGCCACTAGGCTTATCTCAACATCAGTGAATCTCTAGATAGAAATCAGACAGAGGTATCCCTGTTGCCCATACCTTTAAAAGTAGTTGTTTAAAGTTGATAAAAGCAAATGAAAATATGAAAAGTCCATCCTTTAAACTTAAAAAGTTATTGCGGCATTAAACACAAGTATGTCAAGTAATAAAAAGCAAAACATTGTACTACTAATATTTTGGACACATTTTTAAATATAAACTTGGGTAGTGCTCAAAAATAATTGGTCCTTAAGGATCTATGTCACCAAATAACTGATCAAAAAAAGTAGATTTGAGCTGCACCAAATACTTCCAATATTATTGAGCACACAATTACCTATAACAATTACTTCATCTGATCTGACAGGTTTTAGTAGTTACAGTTCCATTTCATGCTTGCTTATTATTAATTAGTAGCACACTTAAATCCATCAGCAGTTTATCCACAAATATTTTTACTTTAGATGTACAAACCTATAACTCTTATAAAATACTGCCTTTGCAGACAATATATTTTTTCAGATTGCTCAGGAAAAACTAGGCAGAGAGACAAAGGGAAATTGAAAAGACAGAATGAATATTGAGTAGGACATAGATTTGTCTTAATATATCTTAGATGCTCTGAGTTTGCACATAGAAATTCATTGCCTGAATCTCCAACTGCAGATCAGGCAAGGAAAATGCCCTGACAGAGTACAAAGGTGATAGCTGGGTTTATTTTCTAAACATAATTGCAAACATATCTCTAACTGAGTCCAAAAAACAAGGGTATCAGACAATATTTCAAAGTATTTCCTAGTCTCATATTCTCTATTGGTCTATAGCCTCTCCCTTTTCTCTTCTATTGTCATTTTTTCTTTGTTCACATTTGCACAGTATTCAAGTTTCTCACTCCTTCATGAATGATACTAATAATGTAAAATGGAATTTAATAACTACCATGACAGAGTAATATCTCTAATTTTAATGTACCTGGTGTTGCAGGAACGAATTTGAGAAATAATTTGAGAGAATAAGAGCAGCGACGAGAGCTGTGGACCCTGAAGCCACACACATGGTGACATCATGAGGTTCATTCATTGTGTGTCCTCCTGATCTTAAACATATTAGTAAGTCTCCTTCCACCTCTGCTTCACCATGTGTGCCACATGGACTTTCATAATATCCATCTCCTAGAGAGGTCTGTAGATGTTCTTATGAAATGCCTACACAATGCCCAGCCCATCAGCCATCTCAGTGCTTACTAGGTTATCAGCTGAAAATGAATTATGAGAATTTCTGTCCATTAACAGGAATGTAGACATAGTCTAGATCAGAGATAAACAGCATATGTGTGCCTCATGATATACTCTCTTGACTAGGATTAAAATCATGTATCTTAAAATTATTTCTTATGTATATATAATATAAATAATATATATAGAGAGTCATTTAATGTAAGTCAAATATTGTCAATATTTACCTGTGAATAATATATTTGGATTGACATCAAGCAAATATCACTTGCGTGAACTTGGTAACAAAGAGGTACATCTGCAGATCAGAGCAACTGTAGAAGCAGTTGGGTCGAATCTTACATGTCTCATTCGCATTTATGGTTCCATCTGAGTCAGAAAAATCTATCATTGTCATTCTTGAATTTCTCAATAACCAAAGACATGCCTGTCACAGAACACAGGTTTATCAAAGCACATATGTGCATTCCTGTCTTCTACATTTTAGTTCTACACAGTTCAGTGGCTTTCAATATTAATCATCATTTTTTTCAGCAGGTAAAACCTTACAGAATATTATGTGATTATTTATGTAATGGTTAAAAAAACAGAGGACATAAGGTACACAATAATAAACTTATACATAATGTATATTATTAAATGACAGATACTAAAAACATTAA